AAAGTATTGTTTCAATAATGGAGTCTTATCTATACCAAATCCTAATACTAGTCCTTGAGATGTAAACTCGATCCAGAACTCTAGTTTCCCCATGATACCTGGCTATGATTCTCAATTAGACTCTTCATATTTCTAGTTCTCACATTCAGCCATACATTCTTAATCACGTCAAGTTTGTCCTTCCAGAATGGGAAATCCAACTCCAGATGTTGCTACTTAACCTAATAACAATTTGTTCTATCTTGCCTAGAAGCCACAAACTGCAAAGAGTAATAGAAATGAAACCAAGAATAGAAGCGCCAACCTTCTGAGGCCCTCTCAACTGACCAGTGATGGAGACCTAGCTGCACTCTTTGCTGTGCCCCCTCTCAGCATGAAGCAGCTAGAGCGGTCATCGCCCCTTTTCCCTAGCAGCAGCTGGAGTCTCCACCTGTAGAGAGGAGAATGATACAGGGACCATATGCCTAGACAGAATAAGGTGAGAGCCTCTGGAGAAAGCAAGGCAGGATATTTGCAGTCAGAGCAATGTAAAACTGCATGCTAGGAAACCCCCCCTCCCCTACTAAAACTATGTTGAAGATTAAGCTCTAGAATCATTCTTCAGTGAGATCAGTTAATGTTCCCCAGATAAAGAAGAGTAGCACATGTTTTATTATGCTGATCATTTGTAACCATGTGTAAGATTCAGCTTAGCATACTAAAAGGCCCAGGCCTATGTACTGTCTTTCCTCCTTCAGATCTGATGAGGTAATTTTGCAAACTGAGCAACTAACTGTAGACCCAGCTGTAGACCACATAGTAAAAGACAAGATTCTTTAGCAAATAGACAATACCTCAGCCCACCTTGGGAGCTGAGCAGGCAGCCTTTTGATATGCTCCCAGACCAAGACGCCAGTATCCCAGAGAAAAATCAAGGCAGGAAATTCCTTATGTTAATTTAATTTTTAATATTCAGAGAACACTTAACAAGTCCTTCTCCAAGGCTTTAGATATAGTCCCCACCTTTCTGGACAGGCTCTAGCCCAAGACCTCAAATCCTTACTCTCTCAAGCTCCACCTTCCTTCAATATGTAGATGATCTCCACTGCAGTCCCCCCCTACAAACTTTTCAACAGGATTTTATTCTCCTTTTAAACTTTCTCTGAGAACACAGCTATCGAGTTTCACCCTCAAAAGTTCAGCTGTCTGCCGCTCAGATCACATACCTGGGAGTTAAACTCTCCCTGCGCTATGAAGCCATTACAATAGACAGGAAAAAATTCTCCAAAACCATGCCCATTCCAAGCAGCAAGCAACACCATCCCTAATGCCCATATGGCAAAGACCATACACAGTAATCCTTTCCACGCCAACTGCAGTTAAACCGCGGGGTCTTCCCCACTAGATACACAACTCCCACCTTAAGCCGTTTGTCTCAGCTTATTACCCTCCCACCAAATCTCCCACAGGTTCCTACTCCACTCTGACTGGACCTCTTACTCTCTGCATTTCGCAGCACTCAACTCCACTTCCACTTATCAGTGAACAAGTTTCTGCCAGCATGGAGTCCTAAGACCTCCCTTACAACCGCCATGCCTCATGCCTCAAGATTGTTAACCCTCTTCTCAACACTTACTCTCTCACCAGACCTATCTTCCCAATGCCAGCCCTTTCTTCTCTTTCAGACTGTCCAAAAGATTGCACCATCAAGGATTCCCTTTGCCCTACAGATTGCTTTGCTGCCTACACATATGTCCCAAAAAATGCTATTAATTCAGTCACCCTATGTAAACATAGCAATCAGCCCAAAAGCAAAAAATTTCTAACCAAACCTTTAACCAGTTTATATTACAGGATTACCAACCCCTCTCCAAAGACGATGACCTTATTGAACCTGGAAAATGCCATCACCACTGCAGACCAAGGGCTCATCTCAGGACCCCCCTCCCCCGCCATCAATACAAAAATAAACTTCATCGCCCCTAATCAGCAGGAAGCAGTTAGCGAAGACTAACCTTCACCCTTTCCCAAATTCTCTACCACTTATAAAACAGATAAGGGAGGAATGTAAGAATATAGTAAATTTATCCTCCATTTGCCCCATGGTCCCAAGCACATAAGCCAGGGAGAATTAGGCCTGGGCTTGCCTGGGACTTACCCCGCCTTATCTCTAAACATCCCAACCCTCCCCCAAGCAACAGGCTAAGGGAACCGCCAAAATAAAAGGCACCACGCTGCTGCCCTCTCTCTGTCTGTCTCTGCTGCTCTCTCTCTTTGTCTCTGTCTCTCTGTCCCCCTGCTCTTCCTGCACTCTCTCCCTCTCTCTCTCTCTCTGCATCCCACTGCTCTCTCTGCTGTTCTCCCCATCCCCGTCTGGGGCAGCCACTCCTTCATATAATAAAGTCTCTTGCGTGGGCCCATGTCTCCTGAGTCATTCTGGGTTAAGAAGGTCACAGCGACATACTCTTTCAACTGGCAGAAACTTCAGTGGTGAGTGGAAGTGGAGATGGGCAGTGCGAAATGCGGAGAGTAAGAGGTCCCATCAGGGTGGAGTAGGAACCTGTAGGAGATATGGTGGGAAGGGAATGAGCCGAGACAAACACCCAAAGGTGGGAATTGTGTATCTAATGGGGAAGACCCCGGAGTTTAACTGCAGTTGGCGTGGAAAGGACTACAGTGTATGGTCTTTGCCATTTGGGAGTTAGGGATGGTGTTGCTTGGTGTTTGGAATGGGCATGGTTTGGAGAAGTTTTTTCCTGTCTATGGAAATGGCCTTGTAGTGCAGGGAGAACTGATTCCCAGGTATGTGACCTGAGCGGCAGACAGCTGAACTTTTGAGGGTGAAACACGATATCTGTGTTCTGAGAGAATGAGAATAGTATCCTGTTGAGAGGTTTGTAGGGAGGGACTACACCAGAGGAGATCATCTACATATTGAAGGAGCATGGAGCTCAAGAGAGTAAGGGATTTGAGGTCTTGGGCTAGAGCCTGTCCAAAAAGGTGGGGACTACCTCTAAAGCCTTCGGGAAGGACTTGTTAAGTGTTCTCTGAATATTAAAAATTAACTTAACATAAGGAATCTCCTGCCTCGATTTTTCTCTGGGATACTGGCGTTTTGGTCTGGGAGTATATCAAAAGGCTGCCTGCTCAGCTCCCAAGGTGGGCTGAGGTATTGTCTATTTGCTAAATAATCCTGCCTTTTACTATGCCTTCTATAGCTGGGTCTGCATGCTAAGTTAGTTGCTCAGTTTGCAAAATTACCTCCTCAGATGTGAAGGAGGAAAGACAGCACATAGGCCTGGGCCTTTCAGTATGCTAAAGTGAATCTTATACAGGATTACAAATGATTAGCATAATAAAACGTGCTACTCTTCTTTATCTGGGGAACATTAACTGATCTCACTGAAGAATGATTCTAGAGCTTAATGTTCAACATAGTTTTAGTAGGGGGGG